GCATTTACATTTACGTATACGTAAATTTACATTTACGCATATGCACATTTACATTTACGTATATGTACATTTACATTTACGCATACGCACATTTACATTTACGTATACGTACATTTACGCACATGCACATGTACATTTACGTATATATACATTTACGCATATGCACATGTACATTTACGTATACGTACATTTATGCATACGCACATGTACATTTACGTATACGTACATTTACGCATACGCACATTTACATTTATGTATACGTACATTTATGCATACGCACATTTACATTTACGTATACGTACATTTACATTTACGCATACGCACATTTACATTTACGTATACGTACATTTACATTTACGTATACGTACATTTACATTTACGCATATGCACATTTACATTTACGTATACGTACATTTACATTTACGCATACGCACATTTACATTTACGTATACGTACATTTACATTTACGCATACGCACATTTACATTTACGTATACGTACATTTACATTTACGCATACGCACATTTACATTTACGTATACGTACATTTACATTTACGCATACGCACATTTACATTTACGTATACGTACATTTACATTTACGCATACGCACATTTACATTTACGTATACGTACATTTACATTTACGCATACGCACATTTACATTTACGTACACGTACATTTACATTTACGCATACGCACATTTACATTTACGCATACGTACATTTACGTATATATATATATCATATATATATATTTACGTATATGTACATTTACATGTACGTTTACGTTTACGTGTACGTGTACGTGTATGTATGTACGTGTACGTGTATGTATGTACGTGTACGTATGTACGTGTACGTAGGTACGTGTACGGATGTACGTGTACGGATGTACATGTACGTATGTACATGTAATATGTACGCGTACGTATGTACGCGTACGTATGTACGCGTACGTATGTACGTGTACGTATGTGTGTATATGTATATGTGTATATGTATATATATATAAATATATATGTATATATGTATATATATATGTATATATATATGTATATATATATATATAATGAGTATATATATATGTATATATATGTATATATATGTATATATATATATAATATATATATACATATATCATATATATATTTATGTACATCTACATGTACATGTACATGTACATAATATATATGATATATGATATATGTNTATATATGAATATATATATATATATTATATATATATATGTATATATATATATATATGTGTATACATATATATATATATATAATATATATATATATATATATATAATATATATATATATATGTATATATAATATATATGTATATGTATATATATACATATATATATATATATATATATATATATAATATTATATATATATATATGTATACATATATATAATTATATATATGTATATATATTAATATTATATATATATAATATATTATATATATATATATATATATATATATAATATACAACATAATACATATACATATACATTATACATATACATATACATATACATACATAACATATACATATACATTACATATATATATATAATATATATATATATATATTATATATATATATATATATATATGTATGTATGTATTATATATATGTAATATA